TCCCATGGACAAGTCTGGGTTTGGCAGTTGCCAAGAGAACGGTACCTGTCTGACTGCATTGTGCCAAGTGTAAAGTTTGGTGGAGAGGGGATTATGATGGGGGGTTGTGTTTCAGGATTTGGGCTTGGCCCCTTAGTGCCTCAGCATACCAAGACATTTTGGACAATTTCATAAATAAACTGATTTCTAACAGATGCCATAAGTTGTGATTTTATAGTATGTAAGTACTTTGGCTATAGCTTTTTGTGACTTTCTATCTCTGCTTGAGATAGAAGCCCAAAACTAAATGGAGAGTGCAGACCTCCACCAAGGCAGATCGGTTTCCCGGTAATGCCATTACACCTAAAAGCAATATTCCCATGATAGTTTGACCCTCATGAGATTTCTTGACAATGAAAACCTAACCCTGCCATTTGGAATCACACTGATATTATTATTAGTTTGAAAATTATTCAAGAAAACCAATAGACACAAATGATTAGTAAATGCTATGAACAGCTAAATAAATGTCCCGTGCAGACGGACATAACAATGTGCCCTAACTGTCCTTCACAGACACACACAGCTCTCACCATTCGGCTGCATGGAAGTTCACTTTATTTTCAGCGTACCTTATGGTAGACTTCTTAGCTCCACTCGTCTTCACGCAGCTGCACACTTTCGCCACTAGGGGGTTCACATACCCGCAACAGCTTTCCAACACACAAACGTGACAAATCCTTTAGAATAATTCCTGGATCCAGATGATGATCCAGATCAGCGCCGAAATTGAATGGACAGTTCCGTTGGCCGAACCCTACATCTCCAAGGAGTTTCATCCAAATCCATTAATTACGTTTTGAGTTACGCTGTGAACAAACCAACCAACCATCAAACACATTACCTCTGCTTTGGTCTAATGAGGCCATGACAATGAAGTTCCTTATGAAGGGTTTGTCTTTTCATCTGCTTCCTGCATACAGCCAAACATTTCTGTGGGTTGTGTATTTTTATACTATACTATGGGATCAGTTCTAAGGTAATATGGCTTCACCTTTCATTGTTATGCAGATGACATCCAGATATATTTACCAATAAAAGCAGCCGGGGTGATGCCTCTACAGCCACTGTTTGACAGACCTGAAAGTGTGGCTGGCGCAGAACCTTTTAAAATTAAATGAGGATAAAACTGAGTGTGTTTTATTTGGCAATCTGGTGAACTTTGCGGCTTTTAACCCTGACTTAGGCCCCCTGGCTCATCATCTGAAGATGACTGTAAGAAACCTAGGGGTAATGTTTGACAATGACTTAAGACTTGACAAGCAGATCAACTCAGTCGTAAAATCTAGTTTCTTTCACCTGAGGTTGTTAAGTAAAGCCAAGTCATTTCTTTATTTTAATGAGATTGCAGTTCATGCTTTTATAACCTCTAGACTTGACTATTGTAATGCATTATACTGTACCTTGGTGTTAATCAGTCATCTCTCACTCAAATGGTCCAAAATGCTGCAGCTCATTTTTTAACAAGTACCAGGAAATTTGACCATATAACCACGGTACTGACCTCTCTTCACTGGCTTCCAGTCCATTTTAGAATTCATTTTAAGCTATTGGTTTTTGTTTTTTAAGGCTCTTAATGGTTTGGCACCGCCCTACCTGAGTTGGTTAGGTGGCGCGAACCTACAAGATTGCTCAGATCATCAAGCCAGTTTCCTTCCGAGGTTCCCAGGGCCAGATAAAAACGCTGGGGTGACCGTGCTTTTACTGTTGCAGCTCCTAAATTGTGGAATGGTTTACCTCTTAATGATCATCTACAGACTTGACAACTTTTAAATCATTGATTAAAACATATTTATTCACTTTGGGTTTTTAATACATAGTATTGTCTGATGCTTCCTTCTTTTAACTGTTGATTCTGTGTAGTTCATGTGTTTATGTTCTTATGTTTTTATTCTTCTATTGATATTATTTATTTTAGTTCTTACCTTGCCCTTGTAAAGTACTTTAGTCAATCAAAGTAAAGTGCTATATAAATACATTTTGATTTGATTGTACTTTGATGTGGCACTGATGCTTACACCCCCCACCACACACACACACTCTTGAATCTAATACACTCTAATGGTTTTTAGCTAATTTGATGTTTGTTCCCATTAACCCGTCATAATGGGATTGTGCTTGATTGAAGCTCTCTGTGGATCTCAGTCATTAGCTGTGGCGTTTCTGTTTTTGACTGGATTCCTTTCTTACTGAATGACAGGAAATATGAAAAGGGTTGTTATTTAGTTTAAAAATGATACACCGTGTTCCCAGAGCTGCAGAAGAAAACACATTGGCTATCAGTGTGTGTTGCGTAAATGCAGTTTATGAAATGATTCATTCCAGAGGCATTTTGATTAAATCTCAGTAGAGAAGGAGCTTTTTCTCCTTCTTGATTTGCTCGCCCTGTCTGTGCATCATCCCACACATCCACCCCCTCTGTATCTTACCTCCTGCCTCTCTCTATCTCTCCATCAGGGAGCTGAAGCACAGAGCGACACAGCAACCTAATGAGCCCAAGTTCCAGATACACGACTACATTGATTCTCAGAAGCACAAGTCTGGCTGCTGTGGTCACATGTAGCTGATCACCAGGCAGAGTGAGAGACAGTGGGTACGAGGTAAAAATATCTGCTGTCCTATCAAAAGCCAACCCCAGCACCAAACCTGAGAAGTAGAGATCCTCACCTTCTCCGCTGAGCTTTTAGCTGAATGAAAGTGAATCTGGATTGACCGCCATCTCTTGTCTGAAATGTGAATTTAAAACTTTTTATGTCATGTGTAGAAATGTGCGTGGTCTTTGTGGTGGCAGTTGTGTCAAATTGCAAGTCAGGAGTTACAATCTTAAATGCTATATCCATCTGCAGGGACAAAAAGCAAACAGATTCATCATTCTACTCTTGAAAAACATCAGTTTTATAAGAACAATCAATATGACTGTTGATGTGGATATAGCTTTTTGCCATGCAGCTCTTGGTCTGTCATTCCAGTTTGACTAGGCTGTGAACTGAATCCCTTTTGGCCTTACAGTCTCCATCTTTATTCATTGAGAATTTTAGTGTATTTGAGAAATGGACTTCAGTCTCACAGTCAGATTGTAGCTCAAATGATCCTGTCTGATCACATCTGTACAGCTGTTAGAATAAAGCCAACATTCTGAGGGCGCTTGCCCACTGTGTGTCTGTCTGTACATTCAATTCAGGGCCAGTGAAACTTCATTCGAAGTACTGTACATGTAACTGTGCTGGAGGATCGTCCCACTGTTGCACCAGGCTACGTACAAAGAGATTATTTTCATGTCTTTAGTGACAGATTCCTCAGCATGCCCTTTACTATTTACACACAGAGATACACACACACACACACACACAGCACTCTTAAACATTGTTGTCTCCTTGTAATGATGGATGTTGTTGTGTAGACTGTACCAAAGTTGTATTTGTTCACACACCACATCGTGAAACTCGTTTCTTTGTACAATGTTCATTATGAATGTTTGCTTGTCGAACTTGCTCGATGTCACATTTGTCCCTCCTCTGAGGTGTCACGGTGATCACAAAGTGCCATGACAAAGTGCTTTGTTATCATATATATAAAAGTATATTTTGTAATGTATGTAGTGGTGTTTTATTGAAGTCAGTCTCATCTGTGTGTCTTTGTGTGTGTCCTGGGGTGGGAGTCACTGAGGGTGATGACGGGATGTGCTGAGGTTAATAAGCCACCGAGTGGCAGCAGCTACCCTGTTTACGCTCCAGTATGCAGCACTAGGAAGCGTTTCATCCATCAGGTCCTAGTGGACATGTTGATATTGTATTTTTAGTCTATTTCATGTGTTTAAAAAATGCATAACATCATGTCATGATGTTTTTGTTACACCCTCAGTGCAACCACGGTATTATTTATGTGTAAGGTAAACTTTGTGGCATACCGTGGTTGCACTGAGGGTGTATTTATGTGTAAGGTAAACTTTGTGGCCATCACAGTGAATCAAACATGGAGTACATGTATGAGTCACTGTAATGAGCTGTACACCTACTGAACTCTCCTCCTCTCCCACCTATGAGTCACACTGAAGACACAGTGAGGAGCCTGTACATTCTCCATCCTTTACTGTGGAAAAAGAACAGTCCTGATTCTCCCTGCTGTATGTGTTAAATCTACTCTAGTTACCAATACTGATGTTCTGGTAGCTTTAAATATCCAGACTGGAGAGTGTTGAGAGTTCCTGCCTCTGCCCACTCAGGTCTGGACGCATTCTCAGCTAAAACATCAAATCCTGTCTGAGGTTTTACTTCAGGCTCTATTTTTACCGTTGTGTCACTCGGGTGTAGCGACTGGCTCCAAAGGATTGTAAGGTTTAAAAGGTGATGCTGATCAATACTGTCAAAGCTCTCGTAGTACCTACATTGTGCATAGCGATCATTAGAATCTCATCTAAACTGAAAAGTGCCATAACTAAGTCTTTGTTAATTAGTTGACCATCAAACCATTCAGCAACCCCTCGTGCCCTCTGGATGGGAGCACTGTCATCCTACAGTAGAAGAGCCCACTCATTTATTCAGGTTTTCCTTTCTTTTGTCCTCCTGGTCACATTACATAGCTCTGCAGACATTAAGAAATGACTGGATGGAAACTTAATCCTTTCCAGGAGGAAAATTCCCTGAACTTCCTGTTATTAAGTGCTACGGAACAGAAGGAATTATAATGATGCAATATAAAAAAATGTGTATAAAAAGGCACAGACGGTGAATAAAAATGAACTAGTGTTTTTAAACAATGTTAAAATGACATATTTATGTGGGCTGTTTTCACTGTAGTTACAAATGTAGATGTAAAATGTGCAACAAGTGTTAAGGCAAAGAAAGAATCCAAAATGTGAACAAAGTAAACATCTAATCTGAGCTATATGAAAAACTAACTGAAAATGAAAAAGGAGCTGAGAGAAGTTTTAGGTGACCAAATCTCATTCTGATTTAATCCAAACACCGCCTGATCCCCTGGTCATCTATTATCCCGGACAGCCCCGGTTAGTGTTTAATCCTCTATCCGTCCCTGCTTTGCATGAGGCCGCCAGCTGGGCTAGTCCGTGAACGCACCTCCCTCTTCCTGAGTGGCTTTTCTACTTTTGTCGCAGCACTGAAAGAGATCGAGTGCTGAGTGAGTCTGATAAGCCTCAGTTCTGTCCCCAGGTCAAGGCCTTCAGTGCACACGGTGAGGGTGAGGGGGTCGCCGAGGATTACAGCAGGTGTGAGGATCAAATCAGACACCGAGCTGTTGGTGAAAGTCGACTGGAAACTGGGACAAACATCAGCGCTGTTTCCCACGGACGAATCTCCCCAAACGCGAGAGGGGTGTGAGTGTTTTCTTTGTGTTTTTCAAGGGGTCCCATCCACTGACACATACTCCTCCTCAGCAGCATCCTGAGCGGGTCTTCTAGGCATTTCCACCGTGAACGAGCAACAGGCTGATCAGCAGCAGTGTGAAGGCGAGTGAAGCCTGCCATGCCGAGCAAAAGCCAGTATCTGCGTCCCCGGCTGTGCACGCTGGAAAAGGGGGACAACGGCTACGGCTTCCACCTCCACGGGGAGAAAGGTAAGACGGGGCAGTTTATCCGGTTAGTGGAGCCAGATAGTCCGGCAGAAAGCTCGGGGCTCTGCGCCGGAGACCGCCTGGTGTTCGTGAACGGGGAAGACGTGGAGAACGATAGCCACCAGCAGGTCGTGTCCCGGATTCGGGCCACCGTGAACCGCCTGGAGCTCATAGTGATGGACCCGAACACGGAGCAGCTGCTGAAGAAACACAACATGAAGTGTCTGAAGGAGTATGTCACCGACGGTGTCCCGTTACCCTTCGACGAGGAAGAGGAGGAGGAGGAGGAGGAGGTGGTAGTGGTGAAGGATGATGGGGAGGTGGATGGGACGGAGAACGGGGATGAGAGGCACGCCAAGCGGGACGAGGTGGAGGAGGAGGGGGGCATACCCAGGGAGTCCACTCCGGTCCCGGAGAGTAACGGAGAAATTGACAGGCACGTCGACAAGAAGCTGAACCTCAGCTCTGAGAAGGTGAGTGTGAGCCAGCCACAGTCAAGTGCAGGTCAAGGTTTGTGCATCACCACTTCTTTCAAGATTTATTTCCTCAGGTTCCACACTGTGCTTCCAGTGCACATAATGGCATTTCAAGTGCCCCACCGATTGCATTGCTTAGGGAGTGTTTGGTGCTCTGTGACAATAAAATGCACAGCTGCACCCACACGCCTCAGCTGCAGAGGCTGCCAGGCTGTGGGCAGGGTCGGCTGACTGGACATTTTCTGTGGGTGAGAGGACAAACAACCTGGTTCAGCTTTGGGATCACGAAAACAGGGACCCAACTAGACCCTGACCCCTCTGTCACTTGAAAATGTGAGGGGGCTTTGTGTCCTGTTTTTACAGCGAAGCCACAAAGTGAAGCAGCAGCGACAGCAAACAGACACAGTGTTGTGTTTCTTTGTTTGAAACTGCAGCCAGAACTAAATAAATATCATTGTGAAACTCTCCACAACAAAAAAACAGGAAATAGTTTACTATTTTTTTTAATGTTCCATAAACAAATGCCACAAAATCATTTTTTCCAACCTTTGATCGTTGCCTGTTAAACATTATGGGTGCAGTCTCACTCCGCAGTGGCCAGTTGTTGCTGCTGTCTGTTTGTCTCTGTGGCTGGGAACTCAACACCAGGGTTTATTAAAAAGCCCTTGAGTAGAAGAGGGTCCCTCCAGCCTGGAACATCTGTGCCCCTCAGCGCTGCACCTTGGATGTTTACCCCTCAGGCTGATTCTCACTGTGCCCTCACTACATGTAGGTGGGACTGAGGTGGGTAAAAGGCACAGAGATGCAGAGAAGACCCTGCTGTTTTCCTCTCTTTCTATTTCTTCTCTCCCTGTCAGCCTATTCTGTGTCAGGCTGTGCGTCAAACATCATGTAAGGAGATGGTCCAGTGAATCCACATGTTCATTAACTGTCCACAATTTCCTACTTGGGCCTGAGAAACATAGCAGCCTTTCTGGCATCTGTATGGTTTTCTGATCCATAATCTTATGTAACATAATGTACATAATACTGCTGTACACGATATTATTCCTATGAAACACCAACAAGCCTGTTCCCTGCGTTGCTGCTGTTCAGTGCCTTTATCTGATTTCTTGAAGCTGACAGGACGCCAAAAAGCTGGTGACACTTAAGTCATTAATGAGTTTAGTGCTATGAGTTATCTTTGGACAGGATCAGGCCACTGTAGCTGTTTCCTAATGTTTCCGGTCTGTATGCTAAGCTAAGCTAAGCTAACCATTTGTTGCCTCATATTCACTGTACAGACACGAAGAGGTGCCAATCATCACAACTAACTCTCAGAATAAAATGTTAATAAACATATTTTCTTAATGGCCATGTGTAGGGCTACAATCAGTCATTATTTCTAAAGTAGTTATTTTATTGATTAATCGTTTAGTCAATGAAATGTGAACACATTTTAATGTGAAACCCACACATTTGCAAATTGCAGATAAATATTTGGTTAATCACTTAATTGATTGATCATCTAAACGCTACTTGAAATGCCCCGAGAGTGTTTCTGTCTCCTAGATCATCATATCCAAACGTATTAATTTATATTTACTCTTTTTGCCATTACTTTGTGGAGGAAGCCTGTTCTGATGTGACCTATCTGGTGACCCTCTTTTCTTATATAAACCCAGATGTTCCAAGAGAAGCACAAATGTTTTGTTTCCTCAGTTGAACTGACCTTGTCATCACCGAAACTCAGCTGAGTGCAGACTTTGACATTTACGCAGCCACTCGTTGCCTCTCTTCATTTCTAATAACTGAAATGACAGCACTTACATTTCCAGAACATGCAGATGCCATTTGGAGCTATGTTTCTGGTATTTAAAAGTGACTCTTCTTTCCTTCTGATGTCCACACTTGTGGGTTATGTTGTTTGTCCTAGGAATATACAGCCATTGTTCTCCTGTTTACTGTCTACTCTCCACACCTAATGGAGCTGTGGCGGTCCATTTCACACTGGCACACAACCCAGAGGGAAGTGGCATTGAAACAAATGATATCACTCCTCATTTTTCACCATTTGGACTTTTATTTCAACAGACTCCCAGGGTTTCACATATGGAGCACAAATCATGTTAAGCCCACTTGGGAATTTCTTTTTTATATAAAGGCGCAGTGTGTACAAAACGAAGCTTTTCCAGGCTGAAGAGGTTTCACAGAGACAAGAGACCAAGTCGAGTGTGTGAGAGTGTAAATTGGACCCGAGGGATGCAGTTCAGAGTCTAGTGTGTCTGTGTGTTACAGTCAGAGGCACCTCAGGAGGTGTTTTCAATTGATTCCACTCTTTCTGGAATTTTCTTTGTACATCCTGTCCAACATTCCTGTGCCCGAGCCCTGTGGCCCGGCCAGTGACACACACACACCCTCACACAATATAAACACACACAGTACAAACACACAGCCTTGGAAGACGCACTGTGTTGGTTTAGCAGCCACGCAGCACAACAGAGGGTTCAAAGAGCGCCCCCTCTGGAAGACAAGGAGGCTCAAGGTTGCCATGATTGTGCTGATGTCACGTGTGTGTGTGTGTGTGTGTGTGTGTGTGTGTGTGTGCAATCCATGTGGAGTATTTTTATGTGTGAAAATAGAAGTAGGCGAAAGTGAGACAACGCAGGGGAGGTGTGAAAAATGAATAATCAGCGACATGGAGCCAGGTAGAAAATAGGAGCCGCTGTCGTCATCGTGGAACAAAACAAACGAAAACACATCATCCGTTCCAAAGGTCACTGTTCAGTTTACCAGGCAGTAAAATTTTTACTCTGCTGTTGTTCACTGCAGTGAAGTAGCAGTGGAAGCTCATATCCAGAGGAAAACTCGTGTGTCTGAGTTGACATTTGTGCCTTTCCTGAAACAATCAGCTGATTACTTGATTCATTGATATACAGAGAGTTAACTGGCAGCTTTTTCATTTTCCAAGCAAAACACCTAAAAAAAAAACTCTGGTTCCAATTTCCCAAACCCAAGAATCTACTGTTATTCTTTGTTTTATATTTTGAATATGTTTGGGTGCTGGGCTGTTGATCGCACATCAAGACGTTTGAATGCATCATTGTGGCCTCTAGGAACCTATGGTGTACAGTAATTGTACCATTTCCTAGCAAATGATTCATCTGTTAAACAAGAAAATAACAGTCAGATTAAGTGACAATGAAAACAGTCCATTGCAGCTTTTGTCAAAATGCTACACAGCCTATTAGCAAAAGCAAATGATGTATTTTTCAGAAGCTGTGTTTAATCACACGTCTTCAGTGAGTCAGTCCGACTGCAGTGGGAGAGTGTGAGGGTGAGAAGTCTCTGGGAGTCTTCCTTCATCACTGCTGGCTGCTCACTTACACCTGTCTTTAAACACTAATTACAGTAGAGGAAGGGCACGTGTGTCAGATGAAACTGACTGTGGCTAGATGAGATCTGGTAGAGTGTGTCTGTGTGCTAAGTCTCTCTCTAAGTATGCATCACTGTGTGATTCTACAGTATCTAGAGAGAAATCGCTGTAGAGGCCTGAAATGACACATGAAGGGGACTTGATGTGGATGCTAGCTGTCTCGTCACTCCTCTAATCAACGCCTCTAATGTGCACAGTCATGTGAAAACTAGTTATTAAAAGGCTTGATGCCTTCCACTGCTTTCACCACACATGCTCAGTGGCTTTACATAGACATCGTGGTTCTTTAAGTGCATGGGACGACGTGTTTACCCTGAAGAAATCGTTCTCAAGCTGTTGTGTGGGAGGACTCAGTTTATATACTCTCCGTTGTAAGGCCTTCAGTCCATTGCAGCAGCCATGGTCTTATTATTTGTTTTTGTTTTTTTTTTATGGGCTGCCGATTGCTCACTTTAACAATGCAGTTAACGTGTGTGTGTGTGTGTGTGTGTGTCACCTGAGCTAAACATAAAAGTAGCCATGTGTTTTCACAGTCATGTGCTTCCCCCCACAGTGACTGAACTTGGCAGGAATTATTCCGCTCAGTCTCATTAGTTGTCTCTAAGGAAGAGTAACATAGCCTCCATGTGATGCTCCCACCTATCATATCTCATTCAGCAGGTTAGAAGTAGTCGAGTTTTGAGAATTTGCTCTTAACTTTTATCAAGACAAGATAAGAATTTCTCTTAACAGGGTCAGCGTCAGCGTTTGATGATTAGGTGTCATGCATTAGAGGCAGAAATGGCCACACTGACATTAACTGTTTGAGCCAGGATGGTCGAGGGTGTGTTTCTGTCTGCTGTCTGTGCCATTTCTCGTCCTGAGCACAGACTCCAGGACGTTTGCATTGGTTTCCCGTCATTGTTGTCGGTTGATGATTCCCCCGCCTTATTGTCTTGATGCTCTTCTCATCCTCTTGGCCTGCAAGGAGAGGCCCAGCAGCTCATAGCAGGACAGTAAACGGTAGCTTAAAGGCTAAATAAACTCATCCTCATCACTGCGTCCGAGCAGAAGTAGCAGCTGTGATGAAAGCACATTTATAGTTTAACAGATGCCAGTTAAACAGTCATCCAGCAACAGACACTGAACCATGGTTCAAGGTAAACAGTAAGTCCACCTGATAACTTGCTGTGTTGGCTTATTATCATTGCAGCCACTTTGACAAAGTCACCTATTATTCAGGTTGTGTTTGGATAATGGAGTGCATGTCGTTGTGTTTGCCTGACAGGATCAGATATACGCCATGTTTCATTCTGACTGGCCGCTGTCTCCTGACGTTTGCTCGTACGTTGGAGCAGTGGCTAGAGTTCATATTTGCTTTCTATGGGTGTTCTCACATTCATGTACATGCATGTGTGTGTGTGTGTGTGTGTGTTTGTGTGTGCTTGCATGTGCGTATGAGAAGGTTTGGGAGTCGCCCTGCTCCCTCCTTCCCTTCCGAGTTCTTTGTTGATTGTTGCCCTGTGTTTTTCAGGGGAAATTGTCCACATGACAAGACGGGGCGGAGGGTGTCATGGCCTCATTGTGTGTCGACTCAAAGATG